GCCTTTGCTGAATTTGCATGACGGGGCTGGCATGTATGCTTGAGAGGCTGAGCTCTTCTATCCTTGCAATTTTTGAGAGGTGCTCGGGAGATTCATCCAAGAGTTTTGATAAAATATCGGCCTCAGAATTTTGAGCCCTCGGTATTTGGGTGAGAGAGTGTGCCTCAAATACCTTGAGCAATTCTTTAGCCGCCTCCTTGTACTGTTTCATCCTCCCTTCCTTGGCCTCATACTCCCCGGAGATTTGGCTCACGACGAGCTTGGAGTCACACTTGACGTGGATCATTCTGGACTTCATATTTGCGGCCAACCGAAGGCCACAGAGGAGGGCCTCATATTCTGCTTCGTTGTTGGAGACTTTGAAGGAGAAACAGATGGCATAGTAGACCCGGAAGCCTTCGGGAGTGATGAGAACTACTCTTCCTCCGCATGCTTTGGTGGCTGAGGAGCCATCGGTATAAAGGGTCCACCATTCGTCCGAAGGTGCCGAGGGCTCCTCATCCCCCGCTGATCTGGCCGTGCACTCCGTCACGAAGTGTGCCAGGGCTTGGCCCTTTATGGCAGGCCTTAGACGGATGTCGATATTGTATTGGCTGAGGAAGATAGCCCATTTTACCATGCGGGAGGAGCTGGTGGGACTCCTCATCAAGGCACCGAGGGGTTGATGTGTGAGGACCTGGACCGGATGGGCCTGATAGTAATGGCCGAGCTTCTTCACAGACCAAACAATAGCCAGCACTGTTTTCTCCACAAGGGAATACCGAAGTTCCGCTTCCCTGAGGATCTTTCTAACATAGAAGATGACATGTTGGACGTCATCTTCTTCCCGGATGAGTACTGGTGTGATGGCTGCCGGGCTAACACCAAGGTAAAGGTACAGTGTTTCCCCTACCTTGGGTTTGGAGAGCACAAGGGGTGAAGATAAATACTGCTTTAGTTCGTTGAAGGCCTCCTGGCATTCTGAAGTCCATTGGAAGCCGGCGGTCTTCCTCATGATCTGGAAGAAGGGTAAAGACTTCTCTGCCGATTTGGATAGGAAGCGGTTGAGGGCTGCCAGGCGGCCCGTCAACCGTTGGACCTCCTTCACATTGCGTCGGGGCTCCATGTTGATGATGGCCTGGATTTTTTCGGGGTTGGCCTCGATACCCCTTCGGCTCACCATGTATCCTAAGAATTTGCCTCCTTGTACGCCGAAGGTGCATTTCTTCAGGTTTAGCCGAAGGTTGAACTTTTGCATGATGGCGAAGATCTCCCAGAGGTCGTCAGCATGGCTCGATGACCGTTTGCTTTTGACAATCATGTCGTCAACGTAGGCCTCCATGGTGCGCCCTAGGACGGCCTGAAATACTCTGGCCACCATCCGGATGTAAGTGGTGCCTGAGTTCTTTAGGCCGAAGGCCATCACAAGGTAGCAGAATATGCCCTCGGGAGTCATGAAGGCTGTTTTTTCGGCGTCTTCCTCGTGCATGAAAATTTGGTGATACCATCGGAAGGCATCGAGGAAGGACATGATTTCGAACCCGCTGTTTCATCCACCAGCTGATCAATATTTTGGCAAGGGGAAGGGGTCCATGGGGCACGCCCTGTTTAGATCAGTGTAGTCTACGCACATGCGGAAGGTGGGCGGCTTTTGTGCGAGGACTACATTAGCCAGCCATGAGGGGTATTTTACCTCCTTGATGTGCTTGATGGAGAGGAGCATGACGACCTCCTTCTTCACAAAATCCCTCCTCTCGGCCGAGAGGGGTCTTCTTCGTTGTTGTACAGGTTTGACCGAAGGGTCCACCGAGAGGCGGTGGGTGATGACCCTTCGACTGATTCCGGGCATATCCTCCGGCCCCCATGCAAAAACAATGGAGTAGGCGCGGAGGGCTTCAGTTATGCCGGTCTTCAGGTCTTCGGGGAGCTTGGCTCCAATCTTCACAACCCTCTCCGGCTTGGCCGGATCGAGTGTGAGGTCTTCTACTTCCTCGGCGGGCTCAGCCCTCGGCCTTTTCTCTTCTTCCTCCACGGTTCTGGTGATGGTGTCAACGCGGAACTCGGTCTTACTAACCTTCTTTGTCACTTGAAGGTAGCAAGCGAGGGTAAGTTTTTGATTCCCCCTTGAATACCCGATGCCTCCTTCGGCGGGAAACTTGAGGCACAGATGCCTCATGGAGATGATGGCTTTGAGGTCCTCAAGGGCCAGTCTGCCGAGAATGATGTTGTGAGCGCAGTCGATGTTGACGACGACGAACTCCACTTCGAGCTTGGCTCTATGGAGCCCGTCGCCGAATAGTACCGGGAGGGTAATGACCCCCTCGGAATCAATAGTGTCTCCGGTGAAGCCGGCGAGAGGGGTCTTGATGGGCCGAAGGGACCCCCTCTCCAGATGCAGCTCTCTGAATGTGCTGAGGTACATTACATTGACGGAGCTGCCCGTGTCAATGTAAGTTCGGTGGATGATGGTGTCATTGATCTCCGTACGGATGACGAGGGCATCCCTGTGCGGAGAGGAAGCCGGGGGGAGATCGGCGTAGGTGAAGGTGATGGGTTCCTCCCTCAGCCTTTTGATCTTTCATCTTGGACTCTTTCAACATCTTCTTTTGTGTTTGAGAAAGAGCGGACTCATCCTCATATGTCTCATAGCATTCTTCAACAATTTCTCATATATCTTGACCTCCAAGATATGTCTTCATTTGGATGCTCCACTCCCATGGTTATCATTTGTGAGTCTTGGGAAAGGAAATGCTACACTTGAACTCACCATAACTGGCTCTGGTATCACTTTGTTGGAAGAAAAGTATTTTATAAGATGGAGGAAAATTTTGGGGAGGAGCAGTTGGTAAAGTACTCTGTATTTTGGAAGAGAAAATTTTATAAAGAGAACTTTTATTGCTACAAGGGATTTCACAAATTTTGATTAATATAAAGTGAGTTAGGAACACTCCTATTTATACTAAGGCACCTCCGCAATTGATGGCTAGGATGATGCCAATACAAATTTAATCTAATTGTGCAAAAAACACATGATTGACATAGATTTTTTGCAAAGATTTGAGGTTTTTGAGGAAAGATTTGGCAGGAATATGCCAAATACGTGCCAAAACACTTTGACACAAGCTATTTGACATGAAATCATCAATAAATTCGTGCCCAAATCCACGTCAATCCCACTTTTTTTGTAGTGGGATCTCAATGGTTATCTAGAATTCTCCTCAAAAATATTTGCACTCTACACCCTTCTACTATCTAGAGTGTAGACAATTCTAAAAGAATTATCTAGAATACTATTCTAGAACATGGATCACCTATTATGGGCTACCTCTTATTTGGGTCTTTTCTTATTCAAATCATCAATGGGCGTACTAATCAAGTTTAATTATTCAACAATTATCTCTACCATCTTTGTTTCTTTCTTTCGAATTTTATGTGATCTCTGACCAAAACAAAATCTGCACGCCATTCTTGAAAAGGAAAAAATACTTTTTTTTCTGTTTTGCATGGAAGTTTAAAAATATTGGACAAGGATGAGGAATGAGGTGCGAAATGTGGAAATAAGGGAGTGCAGAATACATACAATACTTATATTTTGAATGATGATGAGAATCTTGTGCATGCCAATTATACTTTTTGCCCCCTTCTAACACTACTTTTATCCGTGACATAGAATTTCGGAAAAGGCGTCTAGCTTTTCTCAAAGTGAGACTTAAAATTTTCTATGAATTTATATATTTGATGGCTGATGCTCATATAAAGTCCAATAATAAACTCTGTTAATTTGTTGCAAAACAACCGATCGAAAGTTGAGATTCTATACAATTGAGACTGTTAAATTAACGAAATATACGTTTAAAACATATTATATTATTATAAAAGTGTGACATTTACATCAGAAAAATAAACATGTAAGTAGTATATTATTAACAGAGTTTCCTTTGAAAGAAATATGACTATTTATGTTTTTGGACAATAATATGATTAATCATTATGTATGAGCAACTGGACAAGAATCATTATAGTGTATTTCAGAGCGACAAGTCACTGATAGATGTTGAGTAAGTGAGAATTATTTTAATTTAGTAATATTTATGGAAAAAGGCCTTTACAGAATTCACATACTCTTGTTATGTTTTGTTGTACTTTATTTACTATGGAGTATTATATTAACAAGTCATATTATAAAACATATGATTTGTTGTACAATATATAAAGTTATATAATTTTTAAATGATAGTAAAATGTATAATTGGTCAAAATTTTGTGGTGGTAAACGTGAAAAAGAAACCATATACTGCTACTAAATAAAAATGAAGTATGTTATATATATATATATATATATATATATATATATATATATATATATAGGGGTGAGATCACATACAAACAATGCTTAACTTACTAACCTACAAACTCAATAATATGCAACACTTTGAACTTCAATATGCAGTATAAATAATATAAAGATGCACTCTTTGAATTTCAGTATGCAATACAAATAATGTAAATATGAAACTGCTAGTTTATGGCTTGAATAATATGAAACGCGTTGAACTTCAATGTGCAATACAAATAATGTAAAGATGATTTGAATGGGAGGACTAGTTTGTATGTGATCACACCCCTGCATATTTAATTATTTTTACTGCATATTGAAGTTTAAAGTGATGCATATTATTGAATTTGTAGGTTAGTATTTTAAGGATGGTTTGTATTTGATCTGTCTTATATATATATATATATATATATATATATATTTAGGTTCACGTGAGAACTTAATCTTAGGAGAGTAAAAAAGATCCCATCTTCACCATTGGATTAGATTAGGTTCATCCATGCGTCTAAACCTTCATTAAGGGTAACAAAGTCAATTTGAATTGTACGTTGGTAGACTTCCTAAATGTACGCTGCATGATTTTCTTCTACAACCGTTTCTCCAAGATTTCTTTCCAAAGATATTTTCGTCCATCTGCGTTCTTCTTTCCTTGTTCAAAGGTGTTGATTGGATTTCATCCAGAAGCGAAAGCTTTGTTCGGATTTTGGTGCTCTGTTATTCTTCCTTCGGCGTTTTTCTTTCCGGCCTCCTTTGTGCTTGTCGAGTTTTAACCTATCGTATTTGGTGTACTGCGTTTCGAGTTTCCAGGCCAACGATTACATGGACTTTGGTGAGTATTATTGGAATGAATTTTGTTATTGTTTAAAGTGATCAAGTTTAACATTCTGGGATGATTATATGTGTAACTTTTACCCAAAACGGACAATTAGGACATATGATTTTTACGTTGTTTCAATATTGTAAAAGACATGTGCTTAATGGATTTAAAATTTGTGTAATGTACATGCTTAAACTATGACTATTTTGGGATGCACTCTAAATTGGATTATGATGGATATGCTATACGTTTGGTTGGATATTGCACTTTTAGGAGACTGTATGTTAAGAGCACGTTTTTGTTAATTTATGAGTATTATTGATGCGCACTTCGAATATTATTATGATGCTCTTATATGCATTCTTATATTGCACTTTTACTGTAGTTTATGTTAATAGCATGTATTTGTTAATTTCTAAATATTTTTGTTGCACACCTTAAATATTATTGTCATGCTCTTATATGCATTTTGATATTGCTTTTTTTTTGTATACGTTTTGCTAAAGCATGTTTTTGTGAATACTTTTTTTGCATGCTTCCATTAGATTCAAATGATGTTCCCTTCAGTGCATCTGAAGCCGTTTACTCAATCGTTTGATGTTAATACAATGCAAGTTTCTCCGGGATCCACTATGTACTGCACACCGGATTGTGACCCTGCTTTTAAACCGCATGTTGGTATGTTGTTCAACAACTTGCATGATGGTATGAGTTTTTATGATCAATATGCAAAAATTTGTGGTTTTGAATCACGTAAAAGTAGTCAAAAAAGGGCTCGTGGTGGCGTTATTCTTTGGAAACATATGGTGTGTAATAGGCAGGGCTTCAAAAATGTATCTAAATCTAAGACGGTTGCACCTAACAGTGATTCCTGCAAGAATGTTGATTTAGATAATGAGTGTAGCGGTGAAAACGAAGAGTTCATTATTAAAAATGAGTCATGTGAATCTGATGGACCTGAAAATGAAGAGGAAGCTCACGTTGAAGATTTAGCAACTCCTGGCGTATGCGTCGATGATGACAAGAAAACAAGACACACAATTTCTAATAGGTGTGATTGCAAAGCTCGTGCAGTTTTTAGGTTTGTAGGCATGGATGGATACAAAATTAAATTCTTCGAGGAGAGGCATAATCATTCAATGTCTTCCCCTTCTTCACTACCTTTTTTAAAAATCAACAGGAAACTCGACATTGGTCATCAAAAATTTGTCCTTAATTGTGCTAAAGCAAATATCGGTACTATGAAATGCTACCGATTGTATAAGGAAACTGTTGGGGGTTATGCGAATATTGGTGCCACGTCCGTGGATTTTAAGAATTTTAAACGCGACTTGAAGGCTTATTTAGTTGGTGTGGATGCCCAAATTTTGATAGATAAGCTATTTAGAAAGAAAGAGATTTCTTCAGCGTTTTCATTTGACTACGACGTTGATGAGAGTGACCAGCTAACACGTGTATTTTGGGCGGATCCAGTATGCATAGAGAACTATGCGTTATTCAGGGACATTGTCTCTTTTGATGCTACATATGAGACGAACAGGTTTCGTTTTTTAACTAATTATTGCATTTATTAACTTCACTTTTTTTTTATTTATATGCATTTTAAATTATGTTTTTTAATTATGTTATGCATTGCAAAAGTATTTTTCATGCACGTATTTTGTTTATTCAATGCACTTTTGTGTTTTTACTTCACAATGTAGGTATGACATGGTTTTTGCCCCTTTTACTGGCGTTGATAATCACAAAAAGTGCATTACTTTTGGTGTGGGTTTGTTGTCCAAAGAAGATGTGGAATCATATGTTTGGTTATTTCATTGTTTCTTAAATGCAATGGGTCGGGAACCAAAGTGCATCATAACAGATCAAGACTCATCCATGAAAATTGCTATTCCACAGGTCTTCACCAAATCATGTCACAGATTTTGCATGTGGCATATTATGGAGACGATGAGTAAGAAAGTTGGACCGGTTTTGAGTAAAGATTCTGATTTTATGACGGAATTGAATTCTATTGTGTGGAGTCATTATTTGCAGCCAACCGAATTGGAACTGAGATGGACCAATTTGATGAAAGAATATGAGCTACTCAATCACAATATGGACCAACAAACTCTTTTCCTGATTTGCTTTTTCAACCCTCTCCACTGCTGCTATAGTTTCAGCCCAGAAAGCATCATCCTCTCTCTCCTGTGTACTTCTAGCGTCATTTTCTTCTCTACGATCAACTCCTCTTTTTCTCTTCCCTACACCAATCAATTGTTCTGCTGCTTCTTGAATCCTTATGAAGTTTTCCTTTTCAATCAAGCTCTTTGGTGCATCTTCAAACATCTTTAGCACATCAATCACAGCTGATGCCAACATTTTGCTTTTATGTGCAAATCTCTTAACATATTCCTGTTTTATTACATTACAGTTAATTTCCTATTCATTTGCACACTTTCATACAAATAAATGCTAAATAATGGAAAACACATGCTAAATTTTATTCAAAATTACCTCCTCACTCTCAACAACAACAGTACACTCCACCTCTACTCCATTTCCACTCCCTCCTTCATCATCTCTTTCTTTGGAATTATTTAGGTCAACCTTCATCATCTCCTTCATCATTTCATCTTCATATATCACTGTGGCATCCCAGTATCCCATCCCGAAGCCGCCACTCTCTATTTCCAAAGACTCTCGCTCTCTAAGAAGTTTTCCAGTCCACCCTCTTAGCATAGGTAAAGTCCTATCAAGTTTTCTCCTGTACAAAACCATCCTGTCCACATACAATAACTGCGCAACACTTTATTATTATTACACTTTACTATATAAAAATAAATAAATAGTTGAAAACACAATAATTGTAGTTGTTAAACTTACTGTTAGAAATAACAATGGACCGGTGAATGCCTTGTCCTTCTTTTTCTCCCATGACACTTGCTATCTATTAGAAAATTTAGAACATGGTCACACTAGTCTATCTCCTTGATTTTTTCAACCTCATTCAAGTGACTAACAATCATTGGATTGACATATCCATTTTGCGTGCTGTTGAGAAGCAGTGACACTACAAGAACAATAAAGTGCCTAGAAAACCACTCACCACCTTTTTTATGGCTAAGCATTTCTGTACTGACATCGGATGGGCTGATTTTGTATTCATCCTTATCAAATATGCCTTTCCACTCTTCAAGCAATGCACATTCCTCGTTCTTCTTTTTTGGTACTATTTTTCTGCCTCCTATAGGAAATCCCAAAACGCTGGCTACATCCTCTTCCGTTACACGCAACTCACTTCCATTGTGCAGCAGCAATGAGCATGTTTTCGGGTTGAAGTTATCAACCACCCAAAACCCCAACCTTCCTGGTATTTCACATACTTGCAGATCAAACAGTGCACCAAAATCCATCTTGTGTATCTCCTTCTTTTGTGCAGCAGTCATCACAGAGAGAGCTTTCACAATCATGTTGGGTGATGATCATGTTCTTATTGTCCTAAACCTGGCCTTGATATCTTTAATGCTCTCTTTCTTTATTTTCTTGCTCTCATTTTCCACTAAGTCAGTTGCAGCTTCACCTTGCCCAGGTTGCAGATCAAAGTCATCATCGCTTTCATTTTCATCAACTACTTTCCTCTGCCTCTTCAGCCTGCAGGCTTGGTTCTGAGGTGCATCTTTGATAGCTGGTCACTTACCTTTATTGTTCTTCACCACCTGTAAGGTTTTGACTGTGCTCCCTGTAATATGGGAAACAATGCACTATTCAACACAAAGAATGATCTCTTCCACTAACATAGACACAACTCCTGTTGTAATACATATTATTTTAATCAAATTACTAAATACCTCATGCACTATATCATTGCATTTATGAACATAATACTTTCACTTCATGCACATTCGAAACACCACATTGCAATTAAAAACTTCAATAATGATGTAAGCAGTCTACTGTCTGTTAACTGATTTTCAACATTATAGATTTGCTGCACTTATTAAGTAAATTTCATTCACAATCACATTCACATAACAACAATATGAATACACACCAATATATCAAAACACACTTAACATGTGCACTGTAAGCCTTTTCTATCACACAAACAAGCCTTTTAAGCACGCAATTTATGCATTCAAATAAAAATTGGATGCACTTTAATGAAAAATTAGCTCTAGGATAGACCAAATTGTGTTCATCACATATACAAACAGTTCAAGCACTATATCATTATATGTATGAACCTATTAACTACTCTTTATGCACATTCCAATAAAACGCATCCATAGCAAAACTCATCATTCATATACACAATTTCGCTCTGCACTCTACCCCTTTTTAAGCACTCAATCATGACTCTTCACTACCCTTTTCCCATTATTTTTCTATTATTCATTCACTGTCGCAGCACAACATTTACCCATACACACAAATAAACAAACAAATCTCACTTTCTATTGTTTTTCATGATAAATGCTTCACAAACTTCATTAAAATCGTTTTCTTTAGCCATGCATTGAATCCACAACATGAACTTGTTAATCCAACAAAATTAGTCACAAAATAACCGCAGTTTATCGCCGTACCTGAAGCACTTTTTGCAGTCCCTGATGCACCGTCGTTTTCGTTCGTCCTTGTCATCCTTCTTCTTCGAAGGTTTCCTAGAGTTTCGATGCTACGACACGCCTTCTTCTTCGTCGAGCTCTGGTAGTTTCAGAGTAGAAGTCTGCGCAATGAAGGAAGTTTCTCTTTTTTCGAATATACAGGCACATTAAACGGGATTTCTTCCCATATGGGAACTCGTGCGGCAGAACCGCCATAATTAAGCATCATAGTCTTTTACCCATTTACCCTTTAATTAGCTTCTTAATGCACGTTTCTTCTTTTTTAATCTGGCAAGGACGCATCATGCGTTTTTTAATTAATAAAACTGATCATCCCAGCCGCACGATTGACTAATTGGATGGTCGGATCTGGTTTTTTTTTACTCTCCTAAGAGGGCATTCTCACATGAACTAATCCCTATATATATATATATATATATATATATATATATATATATATATATATATATAGGGGTGAGATCACATACAAACCATGCTTAACTTACTAACCTACAAACTCAATAATATGCAACAATTTGAACTTCGATATGCAGTACAAATAATGTAAAGATGCACTCTTTGAATTGCAATATGCAATACAAATAATGTAAATATGAAACTGCTATTTTATGGCTTGAATAATATGAAACACTTTGAACCTTAATGTGCAATACAAATAATGTAAAGATGATTTGGATGAGAGGACTAGTTTGTATGTGATCCCACCCCTGCATCTTTACATTATTTTTACTGCATATTGAAGTTCAAAGTGGTGCATATTATAGAGTTTGTAGGTTAGTATTTTAAGCATGGTTTGTATTTGATCTCTTATATATATATATATATAAGGGACAATCCATCCATATTTACAGAAAATAGAAGTCATTTGGCTGTAATGAAAAACTAAGAGTAGTTAATATTTTTATGTAGTATTGAATTGATTTCATTTTAATAAAAATAAAAAATATGTTACATTCTTACAAATTCTATCTAGACGAAAAAAATGTAAAAACATATTCATTTAATGGTTGAAAGTATCCTAGATTCCTAGCTAGCTAGTTGAATCCTTAAGTTCTGTTATGTATACCACCGTATGAAAAATGGAAAATTCACGAAATAGGAGTAAAATGTATGAAAATTCTGAAATATGATTGTTACATTTTTGTCTAAAATAAGAGTAACATGACGATTTTTATTTGAAGTGTAGATAGAATGGATATTGTTCAAAGAAATATGTAAGACTCTAAATATATATGTGGTACGTTAGTAGACTATAACGTATAGAAAATGGTTGGGGAGAGGGAAGTCATGAAGGGGCCGGAGGTGTTGGTGAAGAAAATGACAATACTTGGAGGGTGCAAAGGCACAATAAATATATAAGGCAGCAAGCTTAGAGGAGCAGAAGTTTCCCTATTGTAGTTAAGAAAAAGTCATCTTTGATATGTCTCTCTCATCCTCTCTCTCTTCCCTTAGCTTTATCATGAGCTCATCATGTGAACTCCAACCTCTCTCGACACATAACCTGCTGCTGCTGCTGCCTGGGGTTTCTTACTTCACCAATCTTAATTTCTTATTGGAAACAATCGCCAGAATAATTTATTCATCT